AAAGTCTTAGAGTAATTATTAAACAACCTTATAACTCAAATATGTTATCTTAGGATATGGTATTATACAGATTACTGTATTCGTTCTCCTTCTAAATAATATAATGTTGTTCTGTTAACTAAAACTTTTTTAATTTCAAAAATAAAGCCATTAAAAATAGCAACCAAGTGTACTATTGAGGTCTCAATTTTCATTCCTGAAAATATCTAACATCCTGAATTCATCTTTCTCACTTAATTCTATACAAATAAGCAAATGTAAGCGTTTTTTTCACAACTGTGATTTTTCTAAAGAGCCAAGTTCTTAATACACTCTGCTGCTTGACACTCAGCCAGGATAAAGGCCAAACTCCCTCAAAGTCCCTTCAGTCTGGCCTGTTTACTCTCCATCATGGCATCTTGACACTCCTACCCTCAAATCCTGTACTACAGCTACATGGAACATCTTCCAGGCTCCTGAAGGTGTCAGGAATGCTCTCTAGCCTAAGGGATTTTACACCTACTCCTTCTATCTGGAGCATACCTGTCTTCACGCCTGGTAACTGTTCACGTGACCATTTACTTCTCCGTTAGGGCATGGACCCTATCTATCCACTGTGTATTCCTAGCACCTAGCACCGTGCACACACACAGGATCACTCAAATCATCAGTCCTGTGAATTTATCAAAATAAAATCTGTATATTCATTCAAGCACCATTTTCGTAAGAGCATGAACCTTTCCTTTTTGTGCCTACCTGTCTCTGAAACCACACAACATATGAACGTGTCCACACAGGGAGAGTCATATGAACCCTGCAATCTAGGCTCTATGACGAAGGTGTATGAATTGGGGCAGAACAGGGGTTCTCTGACTGTGTATAAATAGCAAATAGTAAAAAGTCACCAAGGACCTTTGATTCTGAGGAAAGACAAGACAGACTAAGTTACTTAACTAGAGCTATGCAGTAAATTTGCAGAATAATTAAACTGCAGCCTTAGAATTTGCTATTTCTAGGCATGCTGTCCTAACTCACTCAGCCACTGCAACCCAGTCGATCTCACCTAGAAGCATACCATTACAAACGTAGGGAAGGGGATATTTTGGTTGTGACTCTTTGAATCAAGCCTCTCTTCAGACGGAAAAACACTACTGGGTTCTTTCAGAAATTCTGAATAGGTTAGCACTAGACATTAGAGTTTTCAGCACATAATTCTAAGAAATTATTATCCTTGAAAAAGAACCATGTTCTTCAAATGAGGAAAGCAATTCTAATATATCCTGTGTAGTCCCGTCTGAGCAAAGGCTCCTTTAGAGATACTGGTGTAATTGAAGAGTTATTCCAGGAATAAGAAACATTTCTCTACAAAAGTATTTTTTTTAATAAACTAAAAATGACATGGGTAGATGTTCATGAACTAATGTTAAAATGAAAAATGCAGAGTGTAACTAGTACAACCATCCGTGCACTGGGAAAACCTGAAAGAAACCGCAAAGGTAGTAATGGTAGTTTTCTTTGGATGATTGGATCAGGTAAATTTCCTTCACAATAATCTTTCTGTATTTTCTATAAGTAAATATGACATTTGAAATACAACAATTTCTTCTACTTATACATTTACCATGACCCTTAATGCTCACTGGGAAATAATTAAAAGATTTAGAAGAAATTTGGTCACTATCAAAATTTTAATTCGTGGCAAAATTTTAATTCATACAGAGATAAAGTCAAGCCTGAAAAAGAAAATATGACTTAACAAGGGGAAGCCGCTCAGAGGGAAAAGATGAGACTCAATTGAGATAATGTACATAAAACGGCCAGGATGTACTTACGTAGCATATGGCATATAGTAAATGTTTTAACAGATAAATTAATAAATTCTTTCTAGTTCCTGCTGGTGAGATCTAAGAATCTTGGTTTGACATCCAAACCCCTATAACGGCCAAACTTACTAAGCTTATTTCCACCTACTCCCACACTCCCCAATAGTAAACTTCTGACTTTTCCTAAATATTGATGACAGAATATGGAACAAATGTTAACTGAATACAGGTCACTGAGCAAATCTATGCCAAAGGCAGGAATGTAAACTCCTGGTTAGCAGTGGGAGTAAGCTATTGTTTTACCCTACTTCCTTAAGCACCTTCCTGTCACTTGAGAGTTTATAAAGATAAAAACACCACAAAATTTTTGTCTATACCAAAGGGCATAATATTGGAAAACTGTCAATTCGTTGTTGCAGCTGCCACCAAAAAAAATTTAGTTTTTAATTGTCTAAAAAATTATAAAAGTTTGCAACATCTAGGAATCAGTTCAAAGAATAAAAAAGTATTGTATGATGAAATATAGTTATGCTTAATGATATCACTAAATACTGTTTCTGATATCAAAAACTGACATCTTACAGAAAAAGTGAACCAAACAGTAAACAGTACAGCCGTCTGGGTCCGATGGTGCCTGTCACAGCTCTTCAAGTCTGCTGCTGAAGCCATAAATAACACAAAAACCAATGAGCGTGGCACATTCCAATAAAACTGCTTATGAAGAGAAATGGCAAGATGGTGTTTGGCCCAAGGACTTAGTCTGCCAATCCCTGGTCTATCTCACTTAAGTGTACGTTTCTTACTAAGAACATAAAAGAAGAAAGTAAGAGACACTGTGGTATCACAGATATGGCACTGGGCTTGGAAATTAGTCGACTTGAGTTCTGACTGTTTACTCAAAAATATTATTAAGCATATGCTTTCAGAAACTAAAAGATATGACCTTTTTCTTGGGAACAAATTCATCAGGTAATAAAAGTATACAGGAGAAACTGAATAGTAAAGTTTAACATGATTAAAAGGTCACAGGCTCTCACTGGCACAGACAATCTCGGGGGCTGGCATACTAGAGGGAGATGCCACAGAACACAGAGGACTTATGGGGAGTCTGGCTGACTTGGAACAGACCCCCAAGAATGACATAAAGAAGTTCTTCAAAAAAGAAATCCCCTTAACTTAGTTCACCCAGATTTCTCGAAAGTTATCTGACCAAGTACCCTTTATCCCCCAAAAGACTTGTTAACAATTTGTGGCTATGGTGCCAGAAATACACTTTAGGGAATGTCAGTCTGTATTGCAAGTTGGTCAATGACCACCAGACCAAGCGTCTTCCAGTGAGAGAGGGGAAGAAAGCCCAGCAGCACTGAAGCCTGGGGCTTGGAAAGATAAGGTGCTGGATAACATCAAAGAGGGAGTCGGGGAAGGAAAGATGCAACCGACAAGCTTCACCAGCCCTGCAGCCTCACTTGGGCCTCCCCCGCTTTGTGTCAGCGCAGAGCGGGCCAGGTACAGCAGGACTTCAAAGCCAACGTTTTACTTCCAGAGTAGCTCAAAAATGCTCACACAAGTTCATTCCAAATTGGACAATTATCAGAATGACTTTAGTTTATGAAAAACAGAAAGTAAAATACGTAATGAGAAATAAAGTTTATACACTGACGTATTCTTTGCTCTTTGAGGAATATGTTTGAAGTAACCCAGTGCTGGGATATCGATAAGACCAGTCATACGTTGATCTTTAATGGAATCAGGTGATGGGTATCTGCGGACTGACTATACTCTTCTTTTCATCTGTTTTGAAAAGGACTGTGACAAAAAAAATGTTTAAAAATGGACTCAAATCCTAGTCTGCACTAATATAAATCTAACATCCACTTTATGCTACACAGTAGCAGTATTGCCCTACAACATCAGACGTTATCGATTGCTTCCAGACAGCATATTTAACGATGGAATCTACTGGGTGACAGAAGTGGCAGGTTCTGTCTATTCGCTCACACAAGGAACAGTTGAAAACACTATAGAGATTTTTAACTTCAGAAAAGGAGGGGAAGAGGCAGGGGTGACTTCAAGTATCTGGGCAGTAACAGTCCCCATCTCGCAGGGCTGTTGGGAGGACTTGGGAGGATTAAATAAAATATTCTATTTAAAAGTGATCGTAACATGTAAGTGTATTCAGTTAGTATGGATATTATTATTACTATTAGTTACCGCATCCAAGTGGTACACTTATTCTCCTGGCTTTGGAAGAACAAACTAAGGCCAAAGAGTAGAAATGAAACAATAAAAGATTTCAATTAAATAGCCACTATCAGAGTTGTCCAATCATGAGAAGACTGCTCGACAGGTTACTGAGCTCCAGATTACAATATGCAATACATATTTCTAAAACAGAGGCTGAACAGCCATCTAACAGGAAAGCCATAGAGTAAGTCTTTTACGAAGTAGAAATTGGACATTTTTGGATTGTCTCCAAATGCCAGTGTTCCCACTCTAAGATTTCACAACTCTGTCTGTATTAAGTGGTCTGAAAATGAGAGGCAGTCACCTCAGATTTAGGTATTTCCTGTTATTTTACTAAGTTGTCATACTGAAGCCAGAAGCTCACAGCCTAAGTACCAAGTGCTAATAATTTTGTAGTTGGTTAAGTTCCTCAGGTCTGCAAAGCACGTAACAGAATCAGGCGTTCAGAGCCAGAGGCTACAAAGTAGTTATTTCATTTAAAAACTATACAATCCTAACAAAAATATTTCTTACATAATGAACAATCAATTAATTTTAATGATACCTTCAAATTAACGCTGTATAAACTCCTGGATTTAAATATTATTGGTGCTAGATTTGTCATTTTCAAAGCTAAATAAAACTCAAAAAGGAACCAGAAACACGCGTGAGCTGCACTGCACAAACTGCCGCAAGGATTCTCTCCTTAAGCAGGAAACACCAACCTGAGCGATCTCCTCGGTTTTCCTCAATTTCTCCTCCCAGGTCACAGTCATCTCCTGGATGAGCTTCTCTGATTCTTCTAGCCGGTCTTTCAGCTCTGGAGATTGCATTGCCTACGAGCAAAATGTTTATTTCATGAAATGTCTGCACAGTGCCCTGAAAAAAGAATTAGCTAAATTCAGAAGGTCAAGAGGAACAATCTGCCTCCTCTCAGCTTACTGAGGTCTCTGATCTGCCCAAGACACGACAAGGACTGCCACTGACCCACTGCATCCAGACTGCACGGGTCCCAGAGACTCATCCAGTTACCCAGCAGGATTGAAATGCTTAACTTTTTTCCTTTTTTGCTAACCTATTCCTATTGTGAAATCTAATTACATTTAGGGAGGGAAAAAGTTCCAGCTATCAAGAGCTTATTTTTTAAATCCCAATGCATCTAAACTCTTACACATGATTCATTTGAGTCTTCACTGATGACTGGGTATGTGCAGATTAAATTTGCACATGCTGCAAACTGGATGGTGTTGTTAACACCAGGAAGACAGAAACAAAACTTCAAAGAATCTTAACGAACTGCAAAATTACTCCTGCAAAAACAGGGTAAGATTCAACAGGCAAAAATACAATCAAGGTCATTGTTTTGACCATGTAATTTATCGATTTACTGCTAGAAAACAGGTCATGAGGAGGAAGAGGCTATGGTCCCAGGCCCAGGAAACAGTTCCACAGTGCTGGGAAATGGGAATAAAAATGCTAATTAAACTAGGGATTCTGAATCTGACATTTTATTCCTCTTTTGATAAAAAGATAAGCATTTGATTTGTGGTTGGAATGGTGTAGGTTTCAAATTCAATAATGGAAAACAAATATCACACATCATAGAATGTACAAAGGATGGTGGACACAGAGCACCATTAAATAGACAGCTACTTCTGTTATCAACTATTCTTTCCTATGAACATAATAAATCCACAACATGGAAAAACAAGATTATTATGGTGTGGAAGACCTTCTTAAGATTTCTGTTCTGACTTCAACCTGTGAACACATGATACAACAAAAATCCATTTGATTCCTCTTCCAATTAGTCTGTGCCCACCCTCCATTTTCTGCACTAATATGAAGTTGTATCTATTTTTGTTTCATGCGTCTTTCTCTCTCTCCCCCTTATTCTATTACACCTCTTCCCTCTTGCCTGCTGCCTATAGTGTGGAAAGAAACATTTTCTCAGTTCCCTTTATTCTCTCCTCAAAGGCCATCCTTTAACACCTGTGACAACGATCTAAATTTCAGCTATGACAATTTATCTGTTTTCCTTTGCTACTCATCCCAAATCTCTCTTCCTACAGGAAATTCAAAAATTCTAAGTAGAGTACTCATCCCTGACAGCCCCGAGGGAAGAAAATCCAAGTCCCAGCTTTACTGGATTCCCTCAGACCCACGAAACAGGCCTGTGCCCTAACCTCTGCTTTGGTCAGCTGCTCACGCAGCTTTTCTACTTCTTCGCGGAGATCCCGGATAATCCGTGCGTTGGGATCCTCGTTCACCACCGCATGGTTCACAATGTGCTTGGCGCGATCTGCATACCGCAGGGTTGAAAGGGTTTCATCATAGTTGTCGGCTGCCGGACTCACAGTAGCTACCATGGCAGTCTTGCTGTTACCCCCAAGACTGTCCTAGAGGAGAAAAGAAATTGAACATCCTTTAAAGTTGGAAGAAAACATATGGGAACGTTGCAGTGAGAAATGGTGAGGTAATGTCCCCAGGTCAAACACAAATTTAAGGACAAAGCTAGGACTAAAATACAGATATGCCAACTCCCCCAGTCCCAAGTTCTGTCTTCTTAGAAAGCTACTTTTCTGCAAAAGGGAGTTTTGGGTTTTGAGAAAGAACAGGGAAATACAATGAAGCCTACATTAATTCCAGTTTAATAAAAATTAATTCTAAGTCAATTTGTACTCTTTTAACAGGCAACATGATACCATCAGTCAGCAGACTGCTCAAAATAAAAATGCTTTCTTAAATGCCTACAAAATCTTCCTGAACAATCGTAATAGTATCTGATCAAAGAGTGATTACCTACAATCCACTCCATAAAGCGATACACCTGGAGTCTCTGTGAAGCCTAAGTCATGGCCCAGAAAGTGGTGCTGTTATAAGCTATCAAGCACCTTGTAAGTTTTTTAAAACAAAGTACAATTACAGTCTTAAAAAACAGAAGATACACTGAAGGCACTTCATCTCATTCCCTCTGACAGCACTTTAAAAACCACTGAAACAAGCTTCGTGTTCTATACAACTGCTTCTAAACTGGAGACGGGGTGCTGAGAAAAAGACATCTCTCTCCACTATCCTAGAACTGCTAAGTACAGTGAAGTGCGCTATGGAACAGGCTCCAACCAATTCAATAAGCTACTTTCACTCAAGAATATTAAAAACAACTAGATGTAACTCAGAATTACCAAGTGACACTTGGGAACTCCAGTCTACTCCATGCAAAGGGGCCAGACCACAGCACACAAATGCGGGGTGAAATCCTGCCACGGAGACGGCCTCAGTCTGGCCCCCAGCTCATCCCCCTGCGTCCTTCCCTTCCCTTGAGGGTGGGTGGGACTTGCTGCTCCATCTCTAAGGGAGCGAATACAGCATAAGTTGCAGCACATCACGCCTGGGATTAGCTTATAAAAGACTGGCTTCTGGTGTGGGTGTTTTCTCTCACTGTGAGGGATCCCACTGCCATGGGGGGGCATGGCCCTAGGAAGAGACCACAGGAGTGAGTTTGGACACACATCTTCTGATGCCGGCCAACAAGCACTTAGGTGAGCAGATGCAACCCCAGCGGCCTGGTGAGGCCTGCAGCCCCAGGTGACACTTGGGTTGCAGCCACATGAGAGACCCCACCCACAGCCACATGGCTGCACCTGGGATCCTGACCCAGAGAAGCTGTGAGGTGACAAGTGATGGTTGTTCCCAGCTGTCAAGTCTTCAGGGTAATCTGTTATATAGCTACAGATAACTACTAATACACTAATATGTCATCCCAGGATGAGAATTACTCAGGAACAGATTCAATACCTCCTTTCACTAGTAGAGTGTCACTGAATTATGGATTCACAAGATTAGAGAGAATACTTGAACAGGTCAGTAATGAAGAATCCAGGAGATCGCAAGAAAGCCAACTCTACCTTTGGCAGCATTAACCTTATTCATCTTACAAAATATATAAATAACGTAAAGTTCTTACTTTTGAAGATATAAAGTTCTTCCAGTATCAATATATCTAAAATTTGTTTGAACAATCCGTGATCTACACAACTTTGTGCATAGACTACGTAGTCCTCAGCCTCTTGTGAACCGGATTATTAGTCTCCCCATTTTACTGATGAAAAGCCAGAGGTTTGTCCTGGACAAAGGAGGTTAAGTGCCCTGCCTAAGAGCCAGGTCTAGTCAGCTGAAAATATTCTAGCCCAGCTGTATTCTGCCTTCCAGTCTAAGATGATTTCCACTCCTGGAGAGCTACCCACAGTAACACAGTAACACTTGGCAACACAGAGAGTTCAGACAGGACACCTTTCCAAATGATTCTGTCCTTGTGCCCGAAACAGAATAATTCCCTAGGTACTGCCAACAGTTTAATACAATTGCAAACAGTATGCCCGCTTATTCACGCATTACTGAAAAGCTGGTTTTCCACAGAAAACAGAGGTAGGACAATTCTTTCAAGGAAACACACTTTAACGCATGAAAAGGAAGGAAATGTAAGCAATTTCGGCTTCAGGAAGCAAAAGTGACTCTGCAGAGCCTGGAGGACTGCTCGCTACACTCTTCACATCCAGACACCGATCCTATGCTGCTGGTGCCCAGGTCTGCCAACCTCCAGAAGAATGTCTGGAAGAGTCCCATGCGTGTTAATGAAATTCAAATGTTATTCAAGGCCACATGAGTTACACCTCAGGGTGGAATTGAGTCCCCCCGCAGCATCGTGGTGGAGCGCGGCCCTTCCAGAACCACCGCATTCTGTGAGCCCACACGAACAGCAACTGCTAGTGGGTAAAAGGGGGAGTTGCAACAATAACGACCAAAGGAGAAGAGCACGCACATTGTGCTTCAATTTGTGCTGAGAAAAGGAAACCTGGCAAACAACAAATACTTGCTATTTTCAAAGCCCTTGTGCATTAGCAACAATACGCTTATATTCAAAAATGGCCTCGTGCCATTAGCCAAAAGGAAAGAGTAACAAAAGGCCTGGCGCTCATTCAAGAGAAAGTAGAATGCTTCTTGTCTGCTCTTTAATTGTTTAATTAGGCAAATCAGATGAGCTTCGGTTCGAATGCGGCAACTGCAAATTAAATGGACATAGGAAAGAAATTTAATTTTGCAAGTTGGAATGTTTCGAAGCTGAAAGAACTCTTTGAACTCATCTAATCAAATTATTTCATTTTACCGACAAGAAATTGAGACCCAGGAAGATTGGCAGACTTACCAAAGGTCATAATGCTAGTTCAGAGCAGAGCTGAAATTATTCATTCATTCAACAGTTCACGAAGCTTACCATCTAGAGGGTGATCCTGGTGAGCAAATACTATGTGATGAGAACTAAAGTAGAGATAAATACACTGTGGTCTGGGAAAACAGAGAAAAAGCAGAAAGCCCAGCCTTGAAAGGTTAGCAAAGACTCCCAAGGAAAGTGACATTTGACACCTCCAGATGAATAAGCATCACCCAGGTAAAGGGGATGGCGGAAGGAAGTAGGAAGAGAGATTGAGGAGGGGAGGAAGAATGTTCCCAGCAGAGCAAGAGCAGAGTCCGAGAAGTCAGCGCCCTCCTCACTCAGCTAGAGCAGATAACGTCAAGGAGGAGAGCACTCGCGTCTATCCCCATCAAATCAAGCGTGGCCAGTCTCTCACTCTCGGACGTTATAAACATCAAGAGTACAACAAAATTATAACACAATTACAATGCAAAATACAACTTTAAAAAGAAATTCAAATCTTATAAAGGATGAGCAATTTTATGAGTTCGATGAAAGTTCGATCCAAGTCAAACAAGGATCAGGGAGAGTTAGACGAATTAAGAAATAAAGAAGGAAAAATCAACATAAAAGACACTTCAGAGGAGAATGATTTGCATATCAACGGATTCCAAAAGGCTTTGGGGAAAACTGTTTAAACTCCAGAATGTCTTACAAAAACGCCCCTACTTTCGTTCTTGCTTCAAAAGTCAAACATGATAAAAGGTCATGTAGTTTTTAAGAAAAATATGACAAAATCCAAGGAAACTAGTCATTTCTTAATCCTAAGAATTAACACCCAGAAGTTACAATTATAGCCTAACTTTACTAAACAGAAGATAGTGAGCTTTTAAAAAAAGTGTTTAGTTTTGTTCTTCAATTTCAAGTATATTCAACAATTTCTATCACACTTAGTGAAAGTAAGGTGCTTCTGTTTCTTCTTTGGGGCAGGACAGTGGTAATTAGGTTTGTTTAGTTACTTGTTTACTTTTAGAGGAGGTACTGGGGATTGAACCCCAGGCCTTGTGCATGCTAAGATTGCGCTCTACGGCTTGACCCATACCCTCCCCTCCCAGGTGCTTCTCTCTCTAATGAAAAGAAAACTTTGATAAGAAAAACAGAGCTGAGGGAACAGAGGACAGGAAGCAAAGTCAGCCCTGGGTTCCAATCTTGATTCTATTGTTTGAGTTCTGCGTCCACTGCCACATCTGTAAAATGGGAAAACCACCATTTGTCTTCCAAAGAGTAAATGAGATAATGCACGTGAAACACTTTGCATGGTACCTGATTCTCCTGAACCAAGTTCTCCTGGCCTGCAGCCTATGGCACGGACACTCAATAATTAACCTAGGTCATTTTAACTATGTCACTTAACAAAACATATTGCTTACTGTTGGTTTAAATGGACTTAAGTACAACACTGAAACAACAGGACAATGAATATTCTGTCTCTTAAATCAGGCACATCTAGAAATAATCATGAATGATCAGATAATATTTCTGTGGAAAGTTTTAGGGAGAAGTAAGTATCTTATCGAGATTTCTTTTGAAATCAAATGAGATTTCAAGATTAATTATTGACACA